ATGGGAATCGCAAGGGACAAGTGTGTGGTGGCACTAACCACCCCCTCGCCACGTGCTTCAAGAAGAAAGACGACGAATGGTACGCCATTCACGGAGTGGACAAGAAGCCGCCGAATTGGATGCGCTCTCGCAAGGCCAACCTAGTTGAGGTCCAGGATCCCGCATCGACTAGTGCTAGTGATGCTGCTCCTGCTGATGTGCGTATCAACCTGTTGTTCCCTGGCACTGCCATGATTAATGAAGCTACCTCACAGTACATCGGCTCATCACACGCACCACAATACATAGAGTTCACACTCGATAGCGGGGCCACTCACACCGTGCTCAAGGAGACCCTCTCCTTCAAACCTTACCCAACACCTATCCCTCTCTTAGGAGCTGACTCAAGCTTCACCACCCTCGCCAAGGGTACCTCCACAGTCCCATGCCCCGCCTTCCCATCCGGCACTGTCACTGGCATGTGCGTGCCTTCACTGCGTCACAATCTAGTTGCCCAAACAGAAATTCAGGAGGCAGGGCTACGCACCATCTTCCCAGAGAACGAGGACTATTGCGACATCATCGATCCACGCACCAACAAAACTCTGGCCCGCTACACCCTCAACAGCAACGGCCTCTACACGCTACGCGTCCCTCTCCCACAGGTGTCAACCACCCAAGCACAGGCCACTATCACACCATGCTCATGTCGCACCCTCTCCAACCCGACCATCCTCTACCACCATCGGCTCGGGCACCCAAATTTCCGCACTCTTGCTGACATGGCCTCCAAGAAACTTCTCCTCGGCCTGCCAGCCGCACTTCCCCCACCACCTGACTCACCAGCTCCCACGTGCCTTGATTGCACCAAGAGCAAACTGCGCCAACAGCCCCATGCTGCCTCACCCACAATCGCTGCAGCACCACTGGACCTCGTGCACATGGACGTCTGGGGCCCTGCCCCTGTTCTCGCACGAGGTGGCTATCGCTACTTCCTTATCATTGTGGATGACCACTCCCGCTATGTCTCTGTTCACCTCCTCCACACTAAGGCTGAGGCACCCGAGGTCATCATAGCGTGGGTCAAGCAGGCACAGACCACTTTTGACCGCAAGGTCAAGCGCCTTCACTCGGATGGGGGGGGTGAGTTCTGCAACGACAAGCTCAAAGCCTTCTGCTCCTCCGAAGGCATCCAGCAAAACTTCACCCTCCCTGACAGCCCTCAACAGAACGGCATAGCTGAGAGCCGCAACCACACCCTGGTGCAGATCACTCGGTGCCTCCTCAGCCACTCCAACGCTCCTCACTCTCTTTGGGGGTACGCTCTCTACCACGCTGCCCTCCTCTACAACCTTTACCCCCACCCGCACCTTCCCGACACCACTCCAACCACACTCTGGCTCGGGAAAACGCCCACTGCTCGCTCTCTTCGCGTTTGGGGATGCACCGCCTATGTCCTCCTCAACCCTCAGGCTCGACGGCATACCGGTGGCAAGCTCGGTCCCAAGACTCAGACGTGCATCTACCTCGGGCACAACGCCGACTCACCTGACTACCTCTTCCTCAATCCCTCCACTCACCAGTTGGTCAGGAGCCGTGACGTTGTCTTTGATGAGACCCGCCCATTCTACTCCCCTTCGGGACGGGACCCTCTCCCTGATCCACCCTCCCTCGTGTGGGCAGACTTTGATGCGCCTCCCGACCTCCCGCCTGCTCCTGCTCCCTCACCTCCTCCCTCTCCTGCCATCGCACCATCTCCCTCTGAGGTCACTGACCCGGCCTCACCGGTGTCTTCGGCAGCTGCTCCTCCCTCCCCCTCACCTTCCCCACTTCCCGCTGCGCCGCCCCCTCCGAGCGCACCTATCACCTACCATCGGCGGTCCCACCCTCCGGCCCCACCTCCTCCCCCGGCTCCCCCCACCACAGAGGAACCCGCTCTCCCACAGTCGCCCGAGCTGATCACGTACCGCCGGCGACCCCTTCCCCCGCCCAAGCCTGCTAAGTCACCCTCTCCGACCCCGCCAGCCCCACCCTCTTCCCCGGTGGCTCATGGCACTCGCTCACATCGCGCTACTCTTCCACTCGCGATGGTTCTTCGATACACCGCGATCACACCGCCTCCTCCTGCTGGGGGGGATGTGCCCTCTACCCTTCTAGAAGACAGGCATGAGGAACTGTGTGATCTCCATGCAGTCCTTCCTCAGCTCTCACACATCTTCCCCGACATCACTGGCTCACCCTCCCTCAACTTCGCGGAGAACCCGACCATCCCTATCCCTCTCACCGTCCAAGAGGCTCTCTCAGGCCCTCATTCTGCCAAATGGCGTGCTGCCATGGACGCGGAGATTGCAGCATTCACCCGCAACCACTCCTTCGACGACGAGACTCCACCTCCAGGAGTCAACATCGTCGGGGGCAAGTGGTTGTTCCGTGTAAAACAGCTCCCAGACGAGGCACCGGTGTTTAAAGCGCGCTACGTAGCCAAGGGCTTCACCCAGCAGCAGTACCGCGACTTCTTCCTAACCTTCTCCCCCACATCCAAACCTCCCACCATTCGTACGCTCATGGATGTCGCAGCTCGAGAAGACTTCGAGATCAAATCCATGGATGCCTCATCCGCCTTCCTACAAGGACGTCTCAAGGAGACAGTGTTCATGGACAGACCAGAAGGCTTCCCAGGAGATTTCCCTCCCAACACTGTCTGGAAGCTGAATCGCCCCGTCTACGGCCTTAAGCAAGCCCCTCGCGAATGGCACAACAAGGTGAAAGAAGTCCTCCTCTCCCTGGACTTCCACCCTTCAACTGCTGACCCGACTCTCTTCATCCGCCGTCATTCTGAGCCCTTCTACATCCTAGTCTACGTGGATGATTTCATCCTCGTGGCCAAGGACTCGGCCCAGATGACCTCAGTCCAGGCAGCCCTAAGCAAGGCTCTCCAGATGAAAGACCTCGGTGACCTCAAGCACTACCTGGGGATGGAGATCACTCGTGATCGCAAGGCTCGCACCATCTCACTCTCCCAGGAGTTCTACATCGACAATGTGCTCAAGCGATTTGAGATGGAGCTATGCACACCTGTTGCCACCCCGCTGCCGCTGCAACACCTCCTCACAGCTCCAGCGGTACCCACACCAGAGGCCTGCTCTGAGCCATACCCGGAGCTTGTTGGGTCCCTCATGTACGCCATGATGTGCACCCGGCCAGACCTGGCCTATCCTGTCAGTGTCCTCTCTCGCTACGTGGCCCCTGGACGCTTCACTGACCTTCACTGGAAGGCAGCCAAGCGGGTGTTGCGCTATCTTCAGGGCACCAAGTCTCACGTCCTCACACTCGGTGGGCTCTCCCCTCCTCGCCTAGAGGGTTACACCGACTCCTCCTGGGCTGATGACCAGACCGACCGACGCTCCTCTCAGGGGTACTGCTTCACCCTTGGGAGCGGAATTGTCAGTTGGCGCTCCACCAGGTCGTCTGCAGTCTCCCTCTCCTCATGTGAGGCAGAGCTCTACGCAGGCACCATGGCTGCTCAGGAGGCTCGTTGGCTCACCTTCCTCCTCCAGGAACTTGGTTTCCCACAGTCCGCCCCTACCCTCTGGTGTGACAACCAGAGTACCATCCACATCTCTCAAGACCCTGTGTATCACACCCGCACCAAGCACATTGAACTCCGGCACTTCTTCATCCGTGACCTTGTCCAACAAGAGCAGTTGAAAGTGGAATACGTTGCATCTGACTGCAACCTGGCTGATCTGTTCACCAAGCCCCTTGGGAAAGTTCCCCACCACCGTCTCCTTGGCGCCATGGGGCTCTGTGCTCCACCCTCTCTACCCTGAGTTCGATTGACGCCTATGGGGGGGTGTTAGTGTTAGTCTTCAATCTCACAATTTGTACTTTGTATTTTCTATATCCTAGAGTAGTGTAGTTTGCACATTGTGTTTGGTTGGGTGTACACCTACATCCCAACCAAACCCAAATGTAATCTCCAACCAATCTCCAACCCACCAATTGGAGATTGCCTTGGGATTACCCCCAATCCCTAGAGATTGCCCCCGATTCCCTTCCCCATCCTTTTCCTACCCCTCTTGGATGTACTTAAAGAGCTTCAAGCTCATTACTAATGCATCGCTTCTAAGCCTATTTGTGACAATAGCGCCAAGGCCCATGCCCCTCAGACCTAGGAGGGACGAGAGGGGCGGTGGAAGGATGAGGTGGTTGGGGGGAGGGGATGTCCAGTGGTATGTCCTCCCTGGGAGGGGTAAAACGGAGGGTGGCGGTGGGGAAAGCATGCGGCTTGGGTGGCCCAGCAGAGCCAGGAGAGGGGAGGACGGTGGAGGGGGGACGAGGGAGGGTGTAGGCAGGAGAGTGGGAGTGGGGAGGAAGGGGAAAGAGAAGGCTAAGCACCGACCTGAGCCGAGCTGCTGTGCGGTGACGGAGGAGGGCCAGAGCCAGCAGACCCAGGAGAGGCAGGAGACGATGGGGATGAGGTAGCCGGGCACGAGATACCAACAGAAGGAGAGCGCTGTTATGAGGAAGAAGAAGTGGGCTCGTGTCAGCATGCCCCGCGCTGGCGTGTCTGACTCGTGGAGGGTGCTGGGTGGGAAGGGAGGAGGGGGGTGTGTGTGGGGTTGGGTGGGTTCGAGTGGAGTGGGGTGGAGTAGAGTGGGGTGGGGTGGGGTTGAGGGAGAATGACGAGGCAGGCATGTGATTGTTTCACACTGAATCGCTGGACTCATTCGAGTCGAGCTGCTACTCAAGAAGCTGGGCTGGGGGGGGAGCGGGCGGGGGGAAGATGGGGCAAGAGGGAGTAGTGGGTGGGAGGGAAGGCAGGGTGGGGTGTGGAAGGGCGTGGGGAAGAGAGGAGGGCGGGATGGGGGGTGGGAATGCGGGGCCGGGCCAGGAGGGCGGGGTTGGGCGGAGGATATTGCTTGCCTAAATCTAGATTCTAGACTTGATTGTGTGCAACGACACCTCGAACGACGGAGAATGGGGGTGAAAGGTCAAGGTCTGGTGGAACGGAAGCTTAC